TGAGACATCCAAACCAAACCCCAATATCTTAACTGAAATGTGGAAGGGTAGTTCTTCTCAGTGGACCACTTCCCCAGGTGATGCCTCCTGCCCCCACAGAGCTGCAGCAGCAGGACCAGGTTCTCCGACCACCTGCTAATTGCCAGCTGTATGCCAGGTGCAATGGGGATGGAAGGTAAGAAAATTCAGTCTTTACCCTGAAAGTGCTAGGAAAGGCTGGCCTGGGACAGAGGTTCATCACAGTTGACTTTGCTCCCCAGGGACATTTGGCCATGGCTGGAGATATTCTTTGAGGGAGAGTTTGTGGGTGACACTGGCATCTGATGAGTAGAGAGAGGCCAGGGATGTTGTTAAGCATTCCACAACCTACAGTCCCCCGTGTGGCCATGAATTATCTGATCCAAAATGCCAACAGGGCCATGGTTGAGAAAAGCCGCTATAGAGGGTTACAAAGAACCCAGAATCTTATCCAGACTGTAACAAAATGTTGTAAAATTCCCAGAGCCTCCTGAATTGGTGATTTCATGGGAATCTGAATTCTCCAAATTCAAGTTGATTCACAGGTCAATCTTTAGAAGTCTCCTAACCCAACTCCTTCATTTCACAGATGAGGAAACAGGAAACGAGAAAGAAAATGATTAAAACAGAAACCAGGGCTATTTCTTGAATATCTACAACATGTAGTGGTACCTTTTTGCAATTTGCCAGTTACAATAATACTATAAGGTAAATAACCTCTCATGCCTATTTTATATATGGAGCTACTATAGTTCTGGAGGCCTAGGTAACTTGCCCAAGATCCCATGGCTCGTAAGTGGAAAAGTTGGTTCAAAGTGTGGTCCCTCTGGTGCCAAAGACTCAGAGGTGTCCTCTGCATGTAGCCATTATGAGTAAGTTTAATGACTTTCTGGAACCTTGAAAAAATGGGCTGAATTCTCCCCAGCACAGTATTCCATCTCTGGCTTCACCCTGCCTGATCCCTTCTGTTTACAATGGTTCCTTGCCTCCATCCAGCCTGGTTAGAGTTAGAGAGAGAGAGAACGTGAGGAGAGAGGAAGGGAGGAGAGGGGAGAAGGGCGAGAAGGGGAGAAAATGACCTGCCCCTGCCTGACCAAAGAGAACTGCTTCTGGAACTTCAGTGATACCTAGAAGCACATCCCTTCTGCCAGTTCACTCTGCCAAGGATTCATCCTTCCTCCCAATTAAGTCAACTCCTTAATGACCCCCATTCTTTGGGGTTTCATGGACTATTGCATTCTAGATAAATAGATGATAGACAGACAGACAGACATCCAGCTAGATCCCACAGAGTGGCCCGATTTTCCTTGCCAAGTATAGCTACTATCAAAACCAATCATCCTCTTCCTTCAGGGGCATTTCATAAGATGAAGAATATTCCAATGCCAAAAAAAAGATGGAAGTACCTAATTGAGAATAAAAGACAGTTCTTTAAGTTGAATAAATGTAACATGAAAAGTTTACAATGGTGTTCTTATTCCTCAGACTGTGCTGTGGATCAATGTTAGAGAATTGCGAATGGAAGTCCTCCCATGCTCAGAGAAAGGTCACTTTAGGACAGAATGTGAAAAAGTCAAGATTCTTGTATTGGAAGCATGCTCAGGGCTCATCTAGACCAACTGTGATGCAGTGCAAAGAGCTTCATTGGAGTCCAAAGAACTCGGCCTGAAATCCTGACACAGCAATCCATGAAGTTGGGCCAGGGGATGGAGGGAAGTGAGGGCCAGCCACACTCCTACATTTCCCCAGGCCTGTGCCTCTGCCCTTGTGAAATAAGACTAAGCCTGGCTTTGTCCGGCCAAAAATATGATAGGTGCTTCCAGCAAGGCCTAGTGAGTCCTGCTTCCCCCTCTCTCAGAATCCAGGACTCCTTCCGGCCTGGCAGTGCTACCCCTCGTTGTACATTTCCTATGTACAAGGAGCAAGCCCTTCCCGGCCCAGCCCAACTGTCTTCCCAGGCACAGCTGAGAACCTCCGCATTCCAACTGCTCCATCACAGACTCCAATGTAGGAACGTGGCAATAACATGTCCTGAGCCTTCATGGCGAAATGCTAGAAATCACTATGCAGTGGGGAAAAGGTCCTACTAAAGATGAGCAGGCATCCTCATATGACTCTGGGTCGCAATAAGCAACACAAGATCTCCTGACACACTTTATGCTCTCTTCTCTCAACTCCACCCCACAGGAGAGAAAAATCACCTTTTATTTTATTTCTTATTTTTTTAAGCATTCTTTTTTGTTTTAACCTTTATTTACTTATTTTTATGTGGTGCTGAGGATCAAGCCCAGTGCCATGCACATGCTTGTGAGGCTAGCGCTCTGCCACTGAACCACAACCCCAGCCTCAGAAGATCGCCTTTTAAATGACAATTTAGCTTATGCAAATATGGCACAGGATCCGAAAGGAAGTGAACATCTGTGTGCCTGTGGTTACAAAAGCACATTGTGACTTTTTTTCAAAGCTTTTGGTAGCAGAGATCCAAATAGGCTCCCTCCCCACGGGTGTATTTGAATGTGAACTGGCAATTTTACAATTTCTATCCCCCCCCCCCCCCCCCCCCCCCCCCCCCCCCCCCCCGTCAGCGGTGAGGCCTGTAGAAATGCTTATTCTAGAAAGTGGGTGCATTCTGCTTTGGGGATGGTGGGGAAATAATCCACTGGTCAGGCCTGAGCTGTGGAGGAGGGAAATCCCCCAAATGGTTGAAGGGATTAAATTGAAGAAGGTGCTGAAAGTGAAAAACATTCAACAAAGATGAAATGCCTTAGGCAAGAGGAAAGAGCAGGTTCTAGAGTGTCAGGGCTCCAGACATCATCTCCTTTACCACAAGCTCTCTTTGGCTCTGGGGTTGGTAACAGTTACCAAAAGGCAAGTCCCCACTCCATATTTGGGTTTGGCTCTAGCCATTTAGCTGGCACTTTATTTGTGATGGAGTTGGGGTGGGATTCATTGTGATCTTGAGGAACAGCCTCCATTCTCGAGAAAACATTTTGGTGGCAGGGGGTGAGAGTGGTGTGAGAGGGTTGGGGGGGAATCTCCCAAATCCCACTCCTGAATAGGGATGTTAGCAAATGCTGAATTAAGAGGGGCCTGAGCATATCTCAGGGGAGACAATGGGCTTCTGCTAGAGAGACTTGGTTTGCATAGGTGGAGCAGGTCCTGAATTTGCCTTAAGTAGCCAGGTTAGAGAGAGGATTGGTGGGGGAGACAGTATTTACTTGCTTACTTGTTCAGTCAAGGATATGCAGGTTCTAGACACACCGGAGACAGCTGAAAGATGAAACAAGGTAGTGACTTGGTGAAAACCTCCAAGCAGGGTATCTGGACCCTCCCCGCCTCCCCTTCCTTCCAAACAAAACCTGTCTGCCATTAAGTATCTAACTTGGTCATGCATACTTTAATCACCTGTAAATATATAGGCATTTGCACTCGAACCCACATTTAATGAAAGACATTAATCTCATATTAATGGAATTTGATAAAACACCACTCTGGTGAAGCTTCTGGCAGGTGTCTGGTGTTTAATCCACACAGATATCCGTGACATCCCCTGAGTGGGGAACGGGAGATAAGAACCCCAGAGAGAGGAATGCGGTTGACTCTAGTGAGAAGCTGCAAAAGGCAGGATAGCTTGCTGGACTCCATAATTTTACAGGTCTAAAAACAGAGTATTTGTCCAATTTCTGTTATTATAATGAAATTCCTGAGGCAGGCTACTTTAAAGAGAAAATTGGTTTATTTCCCTCAGTTCAGAAGGTTCAAGGATTGAATCTGGCAATGGCCTTCTTGCTGACAGAGTCCCGAAGTAGTGTGGGGCATCACATGGTGGGAGACAGTGTGCTCATATGTCTTCTGATCCCTCTCCCTCTTCTACAAAGCCATGAGGATTCAATAACACGGTCCCCCTCCCCCAGTGATCTTATCTAATCCTAATGATCTCCGTGGTCCCACTTCTAAACATCATGGCTGGCCCAAGTTTCCACCCTCTTAATGCCTCATAGTGGGAATTCAGTTCCAACCCATGAAGCTTTGAGAGCCACATTCAGATCAGATTCTAACTGAAGCAAAAGGGAAGGTGGAAATCTGCTTTGATGTCACCAACCCAGAAGGTGGGGAAGGGTGGCATTTATATATTGGAAGATCACACTCTGAACCCCAAACATCACCGTCCTGGGCTGACAAGGTCCATGGAATCCCAGGGTGCACTGAAAAATGCTCCCCAGTCTGTGCATACCCTGGCATTTTCAAGAACAAGGGAAAAATCTGAGCTCTAGCCCTTCCTGATCCTGGGCTCTTAAACAAATCACTACACCTCCTTGGGCCTGAGCTTTTGATAGGTAAAAGAGGGCTACAGCTTAATGCACAATTCTGATTGAAACCTCATCAGTTAAGGAAGGAAGAGTTTAGGTGAAGTGCTAGGCACAGCCACACGCATACACATATTTACACATAGAGGATCACTCTTTGAATTGGCAAAGGATACCATTTATGGAGTACTTACAACGCGCTAAGCATCAATCCAAAGCATTACAGGTCCTAACTCCTTAACCCCTTTCGAAAGCCCTGGGAGAGAAGTAGTGGTATTACCCTCATTTTAGAGATGAGAAAACCAAGGTGATAGAGAAGGTTAAGTGACTCTAGATCACACAACTGGAAAGTGGTTGGGTTGAAAATAAGATACCACTCAATAAACTGCAGCTCTTATTTGACGTTGTAAAATGGCACCATTGTTTCCTGGTTAAATATTAAAACCAGGTGATTTGAATGACATAATATTTATCTCTCACCAAAAAAAAAAAAAAATACTAGCATGGGCATTGCTTATTAACATGGATTTCATCTGGTTTTCCTTTTGGTTTCTGCAAAAAAGACCTGCAATATTCTCCATTGAGAGACAGGTTGGAGAGGGATGCTGGGTAGAGAAAGGTCATTTGACAAGTATTCCTTTGACCTCATTCTTGTCTCTAACTTGCCATTACTAGGTGCCAGTCCTGAGCGGCCATGACGATGGAGACTCTCCCGAAGGCCCTGGAGGTAGACGAGAAGTCTCCAGAATCCAAGGATCTGCTGCCCAGCCAGACGGCCAGCTCCCTGTGCATCAGCTCCCGAAGTGAGTCTGTGTGGACCACCACTCCCAGGAGTAACTGGGAAATCTACCACAAGCCCATCATCATCATGTCGGTGGGCAGCGCCACCCTGCTCTTTGGGGTGGCCATCACCTGCTTGGCCTACCTCTTGAACGTGGATGATAAGACCAAGGTGGTCCTCAAGATGATAGGGCCCGCCTTCCTGTCCTTGGGACTCATGACGCTGGTGTGTGGGCTGGTGTGGGTCCCCATCATCAAAAAGAAACAGAAGCAGAGACAGAAGTCGAGTTTCTTCCAAAGCCTCAAGTTCTTCCTCCTGAATCGCTGATGGTGGCTTGACCAAGAGGAGATCCCGTGATCACTACTTTCACATCCCCATTTCCTCCTTGGGATGCCAGAGATGGAGGCAAACCCTGTTCTTAGCGCCCCCTGGGAAAGAGAGCTCAGGGCTCCACCCATGTGCAGCCTGGAAGCGCTGCTGGCTGAGTCTCCACTGTTGCTGATGCTTCTTTCAGATCCTTTCTTTGCTCTCTTGCCCTTCTCTCACATCCGGACATCATCGGACTTTCTCTGCCAAGGGCAGTGCATGCTGGGAAACTCCCTGGGGGTGGGCTACACCCCAAGGAGAAACTCACGTTTACATATCTGAGTGCCTGAGCTGGATTCCGCATTTGCATCTTTCTGGAACCAAAACTGACCAAAAGAAGTCCTTTACGGAGGAGGAGGGAAGGCTGAATTCTGGCCCGCTGGGCTTAAGAGCTCCAACTTCCTTTGGCAGTCAAGACACTAACTTGTGTTTCAGGAGACCAAACAAGTCACAAGTAGAAAACATTCCACAGACTGAACCCTGGAGGGGGGTTGGGGAAATACACTGTCCAGGAAGGCACATCCCTCTGGACATGGCTCTGAGTGAGCCAGCTGAGGACATTTCATACTCGATAATAGAGAATTTACACTGCAGACAAGGGGCTAGGCTAGGACTGTCAAAGTTCCCCTTGATTTACCAACTCCCTTCTCACTCTCTGCTTTCACCCTGACAATTAGCCAAGGACAAATGCATGATGTCCCAACTTCCTCTTTCCCTTCCCTCCCCAACCCCATCTCCTCTACCCGATTTCCAGAACAGCAAGATGGAAACTTGCAGAGGGATTCTGTAAGATGATATTCCTCTTCATCTTTCTCGAAATGAAAATGGAATCAATCCTTTGCCACATCTGAAATTGTCGGTAGAGTTCCAAAGAGGGAATTCACTCTAGAAAACCCTACCTTCTCTTATCCCTGTCCCAGCCCACCAAACAAGAAAATATTTAACAAGTCTCCCTGATCTGGGCCAAACCCTGGGTTGTGAGCAAGCTAGGCACGGTCCCTGCTTCCATCCTGCTTCCCAAAGTGAGAGACGCAGTCAAGCCAACTCGCACTTAGAACATCCTATGCCGGGTTCTTGGGGGGTAGTTGTGGGAACATGAGAGGTGTTTAACCTAAACTGAGGAGAGGGCAGAGAGATTTCCTGGAGGCAAGGTCATCCAAGATGAGAACCGAAGGGAACAAGAAAAAAAGAAAAAGTTAGCAAAAGGGGAAAGAAAAAGTATTTGAGGAAGCAGGAACTAACCGCCTTACATGTACAGAAACTTGGGGCGGGGGAAGGGAGCGTGATAAAATTAGGATTCTGCATGCCACTTCCCTAAACTCCCAGATGTTCTGTTTCACCCCGTCTCTCAGCCTGCTCCCACCTGCTTTCCCAAGTGCCTTAGGTGCATCTTCTCCTGGGGGCACATTGCTGTCCTCCTGGAGTCTATTGGGGCTGGAAGTAGGTCTCCAGAGGGCCACCGAGCAGAGGGTGCCCACAAGATAAGTGCTCCTGAAACTTCCTGTAGCAACCAAGAGGCCCTTAGATGGAAGACTAGGAGAAGCACCTGTGAGGCCACTGCACTAGGCCAGGCCAGAGACCCAGAGGGCAGCGGTGGATGCTGAGGTGGGAGGACAGCTGCACTAGAATCACTCCCTTAACTCCTCAGCCTTCCAGCTTCTCGAATCTCCATGGCAACCTCTCTCCAATCAGCCTCCAGGTGTCTCCATCCTTCACAGTGGTTCCATATGCAGAGTCCCAATCCATCCTGTTCCTGCTGCATTGTGGGAAATTCCATGGAGGCAATGGATACCCTCAACCTCCCTACCTGAGAGTCCAGGGAGCCCGTAGCCTTTCAGGCTCACCTAGGATAGTCATGTCCTGACCCATGTCAGCATGGCCAAGTATTCATTCCAACTCACAAATCCCCTGCCCACAGGTGGGTCAGGACTAATGTTGGAGTTGTTGCAAGTGCTATGTCACTAATTGAATTTCTATTCCCTCAAGTGACAGGACTTGCAGACCATTTCCCTTTCTTCTGATATCAACACAGATCTAAGACCAGCCTGTAATATTGCTCCTGCATTCCCAAAGCTCGCCTCAGTGGGAGTACTCAGGATGGGCTCCCAGCTGGTGCACCTGAAATCTGCACTCTGCACGCCTCCTTTCATCAGCCCGAGAGCTTGGACTCTGGGCGTAGCTGTGGGAGGAGGACCTTTGCGGATGTTCCTATCCTGCATGTCTAAGTGGAAGGAAGTTTGGGTACCACCATGACTTCAGCAGTATCTGCCCCCATTTCCTGCTCCTCACGCTAAATGTTTAGCAGAGAAAAATGAGAAAAGGCTATGAAGAAAAATCCTGAGCATCCACTAGGATTCCCCCATGTGAGTGTGAGCCAGGGAATATGCTAGGGACACCCTGAGACAGGACCTCTTAGAGGCTTTTGTCAAAGATCATTGCCCCTGATGGATGCCTGAGGTGTTGGATGGACCTGTGTGAGCGTAGGCAGCACATACGTCCTGTTTCCCTTGCAGTGACCGTTTTCATGCCTGTGGATGGAAGGACAGGACCAGCATCTGTGTTTTCAGCTCACTGATTTGTGTTATTGGCCCCTCCTCCCTATAGCTGTTCTGTTTTGGAGACTTCGATCTAATCAGAAGCCTAAAGGAATCAATGTCATGTCATGTTGAATTATATTCTATTTAATGGTGTCTGCTGTGTTCTCATTCTGTTTCATCAGGAACTCAAACAATATGTCCATGAAATCTTCTCTCCTCTCCCACATTGCTATATGTTCTTTCCCATAGAATGACTCCTGGAAGAAAAGGGACATACACAGTTCCCTGAGCACCTCTTAGGATCTGATGGCCCTACTCTGAGATGCTAATGGAACAGAAAGACCAGCCCCTAACTCTTTTCATCCCCATGAGCCCAGCATTGGAACCAAGAAAGTGACATGGAGAATCTTCCAGAATGATCAGTGGTCCAGGAGGCGGGGAGGCAGCTGCTCCAGGGACAGCCGGTCAATGCCCCGGGTCCCAGAGAGAAGACTCCAACACAAGCCAAAGCAGAAAATTACCCATCTGGGTCCTGCCTTCATCCTTCTCTCCAGAGCTCCAAACCTATGTTCTCAGCACCTGGAAGAATGGCCAGCCCCTGGCTGAGGCTGCCTCCTATACAGACTCACTCGCAGGTCTAGTCTCCACCAGCCCAGCCAGAACCTGGCATTGTGCAGTCAGCTCAAGCAGTCTCCAGGGTGGGGAACCTCAGTGCCTGAGGGACCATGCTCACTTCCCCCGTGGCCGGCAGGTATAGGTAGAAAGAATTCCAGGCCACCTCCCAGTCCAGGTCTCCTACCCCAAGGAGAAGGAAGGTTCACTAAAGGTCACCCCAAGAATAAGACCATCTCCCACTACCCTGCAGGGTTCCCTGGCAAAAATCTCCAGGGTGACCACAAAGAGGAGGAAAGGGAATACTTGTTAAAAGTCCCTCAAATAATCACATAGAGTAAGTTGGGCTCACCCTCAATAAAGGAAAAACTGTCAACATGAATCATCTGTCTGTCTCCTGTGGGGCCACCTAGGAGACCTGAAGGAGAAGGGAAGCATGATTCTGCCATGGCAGCAGCTGTGTAGATCATTCCCCAGGTCCCTGGGTCCTCCCCTTGTCCTCAGATGGGCTCTGGATGCATCCCTCTGGAAGAGGGTAGCCATTGGCCTGACATTGCAATCTCCCGAGCACCTGCCACACACCAGACATCAGAGCTGGGGATGCAGTGATGGAGATGTGACCTCTGACCTCAGAAAGCAATCAGGCTAGTCCCCAGAGGATAGAGACAAGCAGGTCGTTTGTTATGATACAGACAGGGACAGAGGAAAGCAGGGATGCTCAGAGATTGGCACCCAAGTCAGTCTGGCCCCACCCAACCTGTCTCTCTGGTCTTCTGGAATAGATCCATGCTGGGTTTCCACATCAGAGCTAGATAGGAGAACCCCAGGACAAGAGGAAATGGGGCCCCCTGTTGGTTAGTGGGGGTGCTGCCCATAAAAACCAAAGCACCCCTCTGGTTGTATTCACTATTATACTTCTTGGTTATGCTTTCCACAGCCTCCTCTAGAACCTGTCCATCATAGCCTTCAACTTCAGAGGGGCCACATTTGAAGAATATTCTCGGGGGGCGGGGGTTCAGTGGCTCTTCACACTACCCCTGCCAAGTTACACTTTTGTACTGAAACCCAGTCCTCAAAGAAACAGCCTAGCTGTTTCCTGGCAAGAGGATCTTCCTGACATTTCTTCCCTAGGTCCCCATCTCTGCCTCATTCTAAGCACTTCTCTGAATGATTTCTTCTCTGAATGATTTCTTCTCTGAATGATTTCTTCTCTGACATTGGCTTCCGGTTCTTTTCTGTGTGATGGGGGCTTCCCAAACAATCCCAAACATCGAAATACCTAGTGGACACTCTGTTAGCTTCCCAGTGTGGCTATAAAAAATGTGCAACATAAATTTGTAGCTTAAAACCACATAAATTTCCCATCTAACGGTTTTGGAGGTTGGAAGTCCAAAGTGGATCTAATAGGATTTTAAGCAAAGTGCAATCCAGGCTGCTTTGCATCTGAGCACCAGGCAGACCTGCCACTCACTGTTTCCAGGCTCTGGGAGCTGTGTACATCCCTCAGTGGTGGCCCCTCCAATCTCAAGGCCAGCAACCTCATCAACCTGGCCTCTCCTCTCATCACCTCTCCTCTCATCACCAGCTCAGTTGGTAGAGTGCTTGCCTCTCATGCATAAGGCCCTGGGTTCGATCCCCAGCACCATTAAAAAAAAAAAAAAGTCTTGAAATAAAAAAAAACCTTCATTGGTTTTTTTGGGCTTTCTATGAGGCCCTGATGTTGAGTTTTTATGTTGGGCCCACTTGGATAATCTAGGATAATCTCCCAATTGCAAAATCATTGTATTAATTTGCTAGGGCCACTGTAACAAAATACCACATATGGCTGGCTTAAACAACAGCGATTTAAATTTAAATTCCAGAAATTTTATTTCTGGAAGCTGGAAGTCTGACTTTAAGAGGTTGGCACGGTTGGTTTCTCTGGAGGCCTCTGTCTTTGGCAGCCTTCACCTCCCATAGAGGCTCTCCCTGGGCTCCTTGACCTTGGACCACTCACTTCTCCACACCTATATATCACCTTAACGACTGCAAATGGGTGAATAAAAGTACTCACCTTCTTCAGAGCACTATTTGGAAAAATCCACAGAAGGCTCTAATATATCAACCACTGGATAATGTAATTTATTTATTCATTATTACCCTCATAGTGAGGAGCAAAGCAGCTGTCCCACCAGATCCACATGTCCCAGAACCCCTTGCATTCAGGCATGACTATCAGCAAAGCAACGTGAAGCAGAAGTTGCATGTGACTCTGCCGGCTGGGCCTTTTAGAAAGTCTCCTCCTGGCTCTTTTATCCTAGCTCTGTACAGAGTCACTACAAGAAAGGAACCTGAAGCCCAAGTTATCAAGGGCAGAAAAGCCCCATGAAGACCAGGGATACTATGCTGAATGGGTCTATGAACTAGAAATAAACTTTGATTTTATAGAGTCACTGAAATGCTGGGGTTTAGTTGTTACAGCAACTAGCAATTCCCCTACAAACACCACTCTAAGCCAAGTGCAATCCATTTTTCTGATTATTTTATCAGTTCCTTACCTTGTCTCCTCCCTCTGTCTTGATCTCTCCTAATCAATCTATGCTACATGATACACCAAAGTAACCTTTTCCCAAATGAAAAATCTTCCAAAATGTAAAGTCCCTCCATGGCTCCATACTGTCCTGTTGTGAAGTCTCAGCTCCCCAACTCACCCCGTGAGGCCTCACCTCTTGCCATTCCCTTCCGAGCAGCAAGCCATGCTCAATTCCCTTCAAACTTCTTTCAGATCCTCATTTCCCTTGCTCTACTCCATCTCTGTGCTTCACTCAGCGATATTCCATTTATCCACAACACCATTCCTCTCTCCTCCCTTCATTTGTCCAACTCAATTTCACTCTTCATCCTTCTTCTTTTTTTTTTTCAAGTTGTACTTTCTCCTTCTACCAAACTGCTCATGCTTATCTAATAAATTCGGCTTGAGAGGAAAAAAAAAAAAACTGCTTCTTGGTAAGAAGCAGTTCTTCTCATGGGAAAATGAGAGGTTTGATGCTAAACAGAACTGGGTTCCAAACCTGACTCTTCCAGCTATATTATATAAGTTTCCATTTCTATCTCAGAATTCCAGGTATGCATGAAGAAAGTAAGTACCCCATAGGCCCTTGTAAGAGAAAGTGCCAACAGAATATACACACACAGCAGGTACTGTGGTTGGAAGGTTTGTGTACCCACAAATTTCACAAGATGAAATCTAATCCCCAAGATGATACTAGGAGGTGAGTCCTTTGAGAGATAGCCAGTTTGTCTTATGAGAGGGATTAGTGTCCTTATAAGAGACCCCAGAGAGCTTTCTCGTTCTCTGCCATGTGAGGTTACAAGAAGCCAGCCATCTGCTAACTGCAAGAGGGTCTCCTCCCAAACTGACCATGCTTGCACCTTGACCTCAGACTTCCATCCAAATTTGTACTATGAGAAATAAACTTTGTTATACCAGCCTAAATGGTCTCAGACAGTAGGAATTCTACAAAATGCCGACATTGTTATTATCTTTGTCCCAGGAAGAGAGAATTCCAGGCTAAAACCACAGTGCAAGGATTTCCAAATCCTTGGTAAGTACAGATTTGGGCTTGAACATGTAAAGCCATAAATAGATTCTTCTACGTGTGACCCTGATGCCTGATTTTGAACAAAGAAATGCAATATTTTGGCAACCAATGACAGGTTTCATACCAGTAGTATTACAGTAATTATTGGAGATCCTCTTAAGACGGAGATGAATTTGCATGAGCACATGTTCCCTTAGAATTTTGCTCAGAGTCCATGTAAGAATCTCCCAAAGTTCAGGTAAGAACACCAAGTAAATAAATAATCCTGGGACTGTAGCCAGCCGAGTGTTCATTCACCAGGAAGAGAAGAAAGGCCCCATTGAAGGTGCCTGCAGTCCTCACCCGTCCCCCTGGGGAGAGGGAGTGGCCTGCTTTCCCTTTGAGGACTGGGTTTAGTAACCAGACTTGGCATTGGCACCAAGTCCAGAGCAGCCCCATTTCTGGTTAACACAACAATAGCATGAAAGGGAGTAAGGCCAGCTCCTGGGAAAACCTATGTTAGTGAGAAGAGACCTGCTGGGGTGGGTGTCCGCTGGGTGTGGTCCCCACGTGGCCAGCCAGGCTGCTGGAAAACTAGGCAAGTCAGCTCAGCTGGGAGGAGGAGGGGGAGGGCCAGGGACAGAGCTGGATGTGGGAAGGGCATGGGATGGCTTGGGAAGCCTTTTCCCAGGCAGCCCATGAAGACAGGATTTTTCCACTCATTGAGTCAGCAAATAGCTATTAAGCACCTTGCTGGTGCTGTTCTGGGCCGCCGCAGGAAGAGGGAGTTGAACAAAACACACCAAAATTCCTGCATTCTGGCACTTTCTCCCTAGTAGAAGCAGATAGACCATAAATAAGGACCCCTGACGCCAAATAAAAAGGTGCTAGAGAGTTTTAGGGGTTATCAAGAGGCTGAAGGGATAGAGAATGGAGGCAGAGGTGCTATCTGATCGTGTGGTCCAAGATGTCTTGAAGGGG